GTAGGGGGTGATGTTGCTGTAGTCGAACGGTGAGACGGACGTGTAGTTCAGTTTTGGGCACGCGTACGGTGCTGCAGGGATTATATATAGGTGTAGTAGTACCTCTTCGGGCTCTTGGATACCTTTTTCTTGCTACGTGTGCGTGTTCTTTAGATCCTCAGATGGCTCTAGCACTTTCGTGACCACGGGCTGAGAGTCTTTGCTAGATTTTGGCATTTAGCAACTGGCATACGGTTTAATGTGAAGTCAACAACAACAACAACAACATGGACAAGTTGTACCAGACGGTAGCAATCCAAGGCTTGTCACGAATTTGCGAGATTTTCCGGCGGCCGCTTGCTTCCAGTAACTTCCCAGCCTCGCTATCCCTGTCACCGTTGCTTTGTTCCCATCGTTTGGTCCTCCAGCCTCGACACTACAGGCCAGCTAGTAGTAGAATGTAGTTGCCAACACGGGCATGCACGACAACAACGGTTTCAAAGTCTCAACGCCCAGTCAGGACGAGCCGGATAGGTTCATGGAAGGACCCTTCCGCCCTGACCCTGACCGTTCGACGTCGTCGGGGTCGGCTGGTGAAGAGACGCCTGCTGCGTACGGCACCACAAGCGGCAACTCGCGCGAACCCTCTGCACTTCTTGTCACGCTAGACCCCGAAGGTTAGTCTAGTCTACTATTTACTGTATAGGCCCGTCGAGGACTTAAGCCGCCCGGCTAGTTGGCTATAAATAACGCGGTTTTGCGGAAGCAAAGAATAGATTTTACGTGTAGTGTGCCTCGTTTTGGTTTCTCCTTGAAGTTTTATTCCGGACGGCCATGTAGACTGTAGAGTTAACGGTGCAGCTATCACCGCACCCAGGCCGGTCGTGCTGCTACCTTCGTGGTCCTATGCATTCCCTGCGCTTTCGTCCGTGCCAATGCCAACCAAGCACGGCGTTCAACCATCGCTCGATGCACAGATAACTAGTCTACACTACATCTGTTCAGAACTCAGAACATACAGACGGGTCCTAGCCTCTTGTTCCCAAACAAATTATGAACACCGGCTCGGGATTTCTGCAAACATGTGTGCATATCACGCATGGGTGAGGGTGATTTCGCGTGGGATTCATGGTGCCAAAAGCGAACTGCAGTAAGGGGCTCCATGTGCCAACACTGGATCCAGAAGATGCATGTGCACTATGTGGTATGCTACAGTGGTACAATATGCGTGTGTTTTCGATTTGGTCCCATTTATTCTGGGTTTCAGTTTTGCTTGTGGTTATGTTTGACTGCGGGTGCCGAGCGGGAATTGTTGGCTCCGTGTGTGAATCGATCCCTCTTCGCTTTTGACGTTGTTTTCGCTGCATGTCACCCACGGCGGTGAGGTCTGACTGAAAACGGTTTGGGATTTTTCCTGTTCGTGATTTGCTGAAGAGTTTTCATTTTGGTTTGCATGAGTTTGTGTTTTCTGAGGGTCAACAAGTCGTTGTAGCGCCCTTCACTCACAAGATTGGCAGTTGAGAAATAATATGCGTGGAAGAACTCAAATTCTGAGCACTTGGGCACTGATTGTGAGCAAAGAGCCCCTATAATTTACTATCCATTTGTAAGCCCGGTTGAGAACCCTACATTAAAACCTATATTGCGGCCATTTGTAGCCCACAAGAGGAACTGGTGTACTGTACTCTGCATAATAACCCCAGGCTCGACCAACAGTAGAGATTCTCAATTTGAGTCCGGGCACTAGCTGTATCTGATGGGACGAAAACATGATGTCTCTTGTTTATTCCTACTAAATTATGGTACCATTCGGGGGTAGTAGCCTGTGACCATGGAAGGAATCAAGGAGTATGGATGTTTAAGGCAGGAGCAGAGACCAGAACGTTTTATTCTGTGTAGGTGACACCAGCACACCAGCCGGGGTCACACAGGGGAAAGATAGGCACGCGAGTATTTTTGTGCTCCGCCTTCCCCCCTGCTGTGCTCGTCTACAATTTGAACGCGACAAGGATTCAACAGTAGTTGTTTCCTTGCAGCTTGTGCATACTCACGAGTGCGCTCTATTCACGCCCACACTGCATTTTTTTAAAGCTGGAGTAAACACACCCATACATGCAACCTGTGTACACAGCAGGAAGGACGAGGTTGCCAAAGGATACACCGTGGCGACAGGTGTTGTACGGCTTTGGTATGTACTGCGATTCCGAGTGAGTGTTACCGCGGATGGCGTGGTCACATGCTGCTTCATACCTCGCCACTTCGAGTCCGAGAGACACGAACACGGTCACAAGAAGCGTGTCTGTCTCGCGCTAAACACGTTGTCTCGCTTGGGCACGAGTGCTCTTGTTTACAGGTCGCGGCACCTACCCTGCGTGGTAGCTCCGTCCGATTCTGCTCGTGAAGATCTTGGCCATGCAGGCCCGGCTCTCAAGGCCGAGCCAGTGTCTCCCCCCGTAGCACGATCGTACGAAGAGGCGTTCTATAGAGAAGGTGGCACTCATGTTTCGGACTCTCTGCTGTGCATTCGAGGTTTTGCTGGACGTCTTTACTACCTGGCGATCGAGGTTGGCAGTTAGCGTCCTCATCCCTGTACTGCCCTAGGTGACCACCCGCCACACTTTTGACTGAATTCCCCCACAATTGGTGATCAAGGAACCAAGTGAGTGGTATAGTTTGTGGAGAGGACCCGAGAGAATGAGGGCGTCGCTTTTGGCCAGCATCTCAAAAGGGTCGGGATAGAATTCGTCCCTCTCGGCCCTCACCGATACGTGCAACTTGCTGTGTTCTCGCCTACCGCCCCCCTTGCATGCCTTTCTACCGACGGTGACCCTTCCACGCTGTCCAATCAGGCGATGGCTGGAGAAGACGACTGCAAACGACTGTTTTCTCGGCAACTCCGCCTGCGGAAGTCCGCCCACCCAACGGACACGAGGACGGGCTCCCTGTTGAGGATGGCCCCGAGACTCGTCGACTTGCGGGGTGAGGGAGTAGACCGCAGTGTTGCCAAGTAGACCTGCCGTGTATGTTGAAACAGGATATTGGTGAGAGTTCATAGTTGGTTTCGGCGCTTCAAAAGACTGCAGTCCGGATTGTTTGTGTCTTCCCTCAGATCGCAAATGCAAGCGGCCCTGTTGCGAGCACACACCTTTCAGCATGGAACTTGCATTGGCATAAACACGCACAAGCCCTCGAAAGCAGTTGCTTCAAGTCAGTCTTGCCAAGCATGACGATGTGCAATCGGTTGGGTGCTCTTCACGGGTACTGCAGATGCGCCAGAGGCGTGCGCGAGAGATGGCAAAGCATCCCTATCCTTGACGAGCGGCGACCTGGGTATGGGTAGGAGAAAGTAATGGGAGGGTGGTTCTTTGAACCTGCAGCAATCGAGGTTTTTTGTCGAGGTTTGTGGGGACTAACCTCCTCCGCCACGGAACCTCCCTTTTACCTACGGAGCTTTTCTTCGCGGGAAACTATTTTCATCGGGCGTGGGCGTCGTATGCAGTGTAAACAGACTTTGTGGCGACGGAGCACTGACCCCTGAGATGAAAAAAAACACGTACCTCGAGGGCTACGAGACAATTTCGAAACTACAATGTAGTTTCATTATTTTGCGCTCAAGATGCCAGAATATGAACATGTGCTACAGTGCGTCACCTCCTGCAAGTCCTAATGGTATACTTAACCTAAGAAGCACGGGCGCAGAGGCATCTGTAGGAGTTTCAGCACCACTCACGAATGCTTCCGTCAACGAAGAACATCCACAAAACATCCACAGCAGGTGTCCTATGGTTTTATCCTCACTTGCTGTACGATTCCGGTTCGGAAGTGTGTGTGTTCATGTTTTCCTGCCGATCGCCCTCTGCAACGTACTGGGCAAGTCAGCCCTATTTTTGATCGGGCAACTGCTGTAGCTCTCCATCGATTCCGTTGCGAACTTAAAATTCCACCCATCTGGTCTGGATCTCTTCCGCTGCACAGGTGCGAGCGCGGGGTCGAAGAAAACCGCTTGGTCCAAGATGGTGGGGTCATAAGTCCACCGCGTACGGAAGACAAGAAGCTGGCCGTCACTTCCAGAACTGAATACTGCAAGGTGAGGGATTCTGGCCACGGCCTCCCTCTTGTTGTCTTCTGCGGAGACTGAAGCCCTTGCACATGCATTGTTCCCGCCTATTTTCGCGAATGGCTGGAGAAGGGAGCTTACTGAGCCCCCCCCCCTTCGCGCATTGCCATGCCCACCAACTAACCTTATTCACCACTCACTACGCCGCGGTCCGCAGCACGCCGGGTGCTTCAGGGCTCTCCGTTACGGTCGAAAGAATGGCCCCCTGATGCTATGCCAGTCGCACAAGAGAGCCGGTCTATACACCGTCCGCGACGGCGTGCTCCTGGTGGCTACCCGTGACGGCAGCGGTGCGTGTGATACACATGTTGGCTCTTTTAGCGCATTGCATTTGACAAAATGGTTACAGTGGCGTGCTTGCGTCCAAGTGTACCATCGTCGTGTTCGCGTCCGTGTGATGTGCCCGTTTCATTTGCGGTGCAGCGGTAGGCCGAAGCAGTGAAGGGAGCTACACGTGGATGGAATCACGACTGCGAAAGGCTCGCGCCGCGTCAGGTGCTCTTTCAGGTACAGCAGAAATAGGGCGTGGACGTGTTCCACGCCAGTTAGTCACGGAAACCTCGCTCAGTGAAAGTGACATTTCTCACCTGACCCGCTTCGCTGCGCCTGCCTGCATTCCCCTAATTACACCACATGGCTATGGTACCGTCCCGTCGTGGCCGTCGCGCAGCATTCAGGGAAACAGCTGGATCGAGCTCATCCGTCAA